CTCTTAATGAACAGAGGGATTTGTTCTAATGGTGTTTGTAAATAGGATATCATGTCCGCATCTTGTACAGCAATTAACCACTAGGAAGAATGTATGCAGTGTGTTAATTATTGAAACTGTCCTACCAATCTGGTTTGCAACTGTCTCATTGCTATTTGTTTATCAATAAATTATGGGGAAAAAAAGATTGCAAACACTGGTCAGCTTTTAACTTACTCTGCTTTAGTGTGCCTTTTACATTCAGTACATCATTAGGACTTGCTTTGTGAACAAATAAGATATTGTTTTAGCAAATGTGAATTTATTGTAATCCCATTTTTATTAATATGATTCACATCATTATGCAATTTTATCGTGCCGCTACATACAGTGTCTCATTTATTGCTGTCGCACTTCTGTGCATCTTTCTGCTTTTCTAAAAACTGTTTGTGCAATCAGAAAGGGCAGTTCTTTGTTGCAGCGAGTGCCTCTGTTCTCACAACTAATCCAATCCCTTCAGGCCTCTTCTCACGTAATCGCTATTTAAAGGTACCCTTTGACCTCCACTTATTCCCTACATTACCTTGGTAAGTTTATTCTATTTCTTATTCCTTCCTCCACCCCTCTATTAACTGAGTTATTTCTGCTTTCAAAACTGCACTTGCATTCTCTTAGACCTGCAATACTTGGCCAGAACTCTGCCCCTACGTGTACGAGGTGCTCACCCCTGATGCTCTGCCCAAGCATCTCTGGATGGGTGACGTTTTGGGGCGCTCCGTGGGCTTCTGCAGCTGAAAGGCTGTCCACAGCTGTGTGGTGTGACGAGTGTCGCTTCTGCTCTACTCTCGCTCTGCGCACAGGCCTGCTGCAAGTCTGTGGCACTGCAGCCTCCTCACTGCCTCATTCTGAGAGTGTCTGCTGGGCCTATACACTTCTTATGGAAAAAAGAACAAACAGAATTTCTTTTTTTCTTTTCTTTTCTTTTTTTTTTTTTTTTTTTTTTTTGGTACCGGGGATTGAACTCAGGACCTTGCACTTGCCAGGCAGGCACTTAAGCAGCTGAGCTATCTCCCCAGCACTAAAACAAAACTGCATAACAAAACAATATGTTATAACTATCTTGCATTAACTATTACATAGTACCTTATGTGTTGTTAATACATTACATGTTGTTATCCTTAAAGTAGTTGCTTGGACAGATAGTGAGGTTAAGCTTAACAGCCTAAGTTGTATGATAATAACAATAAGCTTGTCTTCTGGATGGTTAACAACCTAAGTTTGCAGTCCAAAATTAGAGAGAAAGGAGGGTTGCAAGGAAGGCCAACATT